AGCCGCGGCTCCCTGTACATTCTGTACAGACCCTCCTCAGACCCTCCCCCCCTCCGCACGTCACGCAGGCTCAGGTCACCGAGGGGCTACGCGCAGTGGGCGCTGTGGGCGTGGAGGGGACAGGCGGAGTTCCAGATAGGGTCAGCTTCTTCGAAGATTAATTTTTTTTGTTAACTTAAAATAACTTTTAACCCTTGAGTGGCTTCTTTTTGAACCAAAAAAAAAAAATCAAAAAACAAAAATTGTCTTTCTTTGCTTTTGTATTATGGCAGAATCAGGATCTCTCTCTCTCTCTGTCTCTCTCTCCCCCCCCCCCTTTCTCCCTCTTTTTCCCCTTTTCTCCTCTCTTCTGTCTCACGTCTCCCTCTCGTCTTCCTTTCTTCCCCACCTCCATCTCTCCTCTCTCCCTATCTCCTCTCTCCTCTTTCTCTCCTCTCCTTCTCTGACTTCTTCCTCTCCTCTTCCTTTTTCCTCCCTTTCTCCCTTTTTCTCTCCCTCCCTTTCTCTCTTCCTCCTCTCCTTTCTTTCCCTTTCTCCTCTCTCTCTCTCTCTCTCTCTCTCTCTCAGCCGAGGTGGACACTGTTCCTGCCTTGGGGGTCACCACACAGTCTCACCCTCCAGGATCTCCGCATGTCCAGTCACTCTTGCTCGTGCCTTTCCACCTTTCCGGTGCAGATTATCTAATGAGGAGCCGCCTCATCTTTCCTGACTGGCCAGACTGGCTGACTGGGGTTCCCTTCAGCACCCAGTCACTCATCCTCAGCAGTCCCTGAGCTTGGGTCACCTGGACAGCCTCGTGCTCACGGTGCTGCCCTGGGGCCCATCCTGCTCTTCTGGCCCCCCGGCAGCTCCTTCCTCCTAGTGAGAAGCAAATGCTTTTCACTGCTCGGTCAGAGGTAACTGCTTTGACCTCGTGCATCCACACAAAGGTTCATTTGGTTTTGGTTTGTTTTTTTTTTTTTCTCAAACCAGGAATCTGTGTGACTGACCTTCCATCCAGAACAGAACGACTCTGATTGCTTGCTTGGGCTAGAATGTAAATGTCTCTTTGCCTGAATAAGCCATATATATGCTCTTAAACAAAAGTGTTAAGTTCTCCGTATTCTCTCAGTAAACCTGCTGAATGACTCCCAGTTGATACAATTGAGCAATAGCCAGGAATAACTCCCCCTGTAATGATCGCTGTGATGCCCAACCTCGTTCTCTTGCTTTGGCTACTTCCGTGGTGACTTGAGACTTCGGGGAGGCTGGCTCTCAGGCACCCGTGTTGGGGCGTGTTCTGTCCAAGCGAACGGCTCTCATGAGGTAGGTCAGTTCTCATGGCTGTAAAGACAAACCACACACACTCAAGGTGATGGGAACCACCGCCCACGGGGACGCTGTCCTCTCCTCTTCGTATTTATTTTCAGCACCTATTTGATGCGGTTTTTTATCCTCTTCCTATTGCACTGTTGTGACTTGTTGGCCATTATTTGATTTTTGTATGAAAAAAAAAAGCTTTGTTATAGAAATCAGCATACTATTTTTTTAAATCTGGAGAGAAGATATTATGGTGACTGAAAATACGGTCAGGTGTCAAATATAAATGTATAAAAGCCTTCTTGCTGTCCTGTCAGTCATATTACATTCATTTTATATTTGCTGGCAATATTGGAGGTTTCTTTCTTGTTTGTTTAAACTCTTAATTTCTATCAAGGTGTCATAAAATTTTTAAATTAGTATTTCATTACAGTTGTCTCAGTGTTGGTTAACTAATTTTTGCCAGAACTATTATTGATCAAGCAAATAAATTCAACAGCCATTTGAGGAAAAAAAATGCTTCTCGTTTCTTTAATATATTTTAAGTTTATTGAAGTAATGTTGATTGACCAAAATGTGACTCTTTCGGTCTCGGGTACAGTGTCCCCACAGCACAGCACCCACTTCGTAGCACACTTCCCTTCCACTCCCTGCCCAGGGAGACTGACGTGACCTTGTTCTGTTCTTATCTTTTGGTTTTTGGGCCACACTTGGTGATGCTCAGGGGTTCCTCCTGGCTGTGGTCAAAAAAGCATCACCCCTGATGGTGCTTGGGGGGCCATATGTGATGCTGGGGTTGAGCCAGGTTGGCCTGTTCCAGGCAAGCACTGTGCTATATAGCTCCTGCCCCTGGTGGCCTTGTGTTGGCCTCAGAGTGGAAGGGTTTGTCTCCAGAGCATGTTGTCCTTTCTGTCCCACCTGTACGTGAGATCATGACACAACCTTCTGTCTCTGACTCGCAGTGTGGCACTCTGCAGTTCTGTATATATGGCCAGAGGCAGGTCCAGCCTTCCCGTCACTGAGCAGAGGTGCGCTGACTCCCTTCCAGACTGGACTGTTGGGAATGATGCACAGTGAGCAGGTGTGCACACGTCTCCCCACTGTTTCCATGCCAGTTGTATAGGGACCTGGGCGTGATACCGGATCAGAGGGAAGTTCGAGTTGTATTTTTGGAGGAGAGGCCAGCCCGGTCTACTTTCCCACCAGCAGTGAGTGAGGCCTTTCCTTCACATGCTTGCCGGCACTTGCTGCTAGCCCTTTATGTTCTGTTCTCGTTAGTGTAACAGTAACTCATTTCTGTTAGTGATTATGCGTGTGTTTTCATGTGCCTATTGGATCATTGTATGCCTTTTTTCTGGAGAAGTGTCCGTTCAGCTTTCCTTCCCATTTCTGACATTTTTCTTTTCGTGTGGAGGGAGGGATATTAGCTCTTTTTCAGATGTGTGAAAAACTATCTTTGTTTGATACTTTTGCAGGGCAAAACATTTTTAGTTCAATATTAATTCCAGATTTATTTTTTGCTTTCCTTCTTGTTGCCAGTAGAGTTGGGGCGGAGAGATAGCCCAAGCCCTTGCTCACGCCTGAGTGTAGGAGGCCTGAGCCTGCACCCCACATCACGTGCACCCCCAGGCATCGCTGGGAGGGACCCCTGAGCAGAAGAAGTATGGCCACAAGGCATGGCCCTCAGCTAGCTGATGCAGTTGTGTCTGAGTCACAGTCGTGGTGTCCTTTGTGGGTTTGTGTCTGAAACGTGTGTGTCCCATCCGCCAGTTTGGGGCTACATGTCTCAGCGCTTAAAGGCTGCTCCTGGCCTGGAGCCCGAGGGTCCCCATCCTTTTAAGCTGTCTCTCTGGCCCCATAGCTTGTTTTTAATCTACTTTGAGTTGATTTTTGTGCTTGTGAGAGGTGGTCCATTTCATTCTTTTGCATATGGCTTTACTAGTTTTCCCGGGCCATTTGTTGGAGAGCTTTCACTTCCTTTTGTGTTCTTGGCTCCTGTTCTGATCTCCGCTGTTCCATTGGGCCGGGGGATCTTAGGCACGAGCCTGGAGACTGCACAGGTGGCGGACCTGCTTTGTATCCTGGGGACAGCCCCCGAGCACAGGCTAGGAATCGCCCTTCAGCACTGCCGTGTGTGAACCAGAAAAGAAGTTTGGGAAGCACAGTGCTTTGGATCTTTTCCCTGAGAATTGCTTTGACTGTTGGGTGGAGTATGTGCTTTCATACAAATTCGAGCTTTTGTCTTACGTTCTTAAAAACCATCATGGGGAATTTTATAGTGATCTCATGTAGGATGGTCATTTTAACGATCTTGATTCTTCCAATTCACGGACATGGAATATTTTCCCATTTCCTTGTTTTCTATTTAATTGTGATAAAGTTTTTGATGTAGCATTCTTTTTTTTTTTTTTTTTTTGCGAACCTGAGCCAACTGCATGCAATGTAAGTGCCCTCCCCTCTCTGCCCTCTCGCCCCAGCTATTGGGAGCTATTTCTTTCTCTCCTGGACACCGTTTTCCTTATCTTCAGGTTATTTGGGAAAACTCGGTTCCCCAGCTCCAGAGGTGCCCCCCCACCCCCGAATGCTCCCTGTACAGTGGGCTTTTCCTCCCAAGTTTCTCCCCCAACTTGCATAATTCTGAGTGCTGGGCTGTCAAATAAAGCTGTCTCAGCCCAGGCATAGTCCTTGGCGCACAGCTGATGAGAGGCCGTGTGGTCCCTGGCTGACATCCCCTGGAGTCTGCACCTAGCACTGCAGCCAAGAGCAGACCTGCCACTCATGTGAGAAGCTTCCAGGGCGGGAGGCTGGGCTGGCGGCTGGGAGCTGATGAGGAAGATGTGGACCAGGACCCAATCCAAGGCTTCACTCTGAAAATCGGGTGTCACAGCCCCAGCCTACAGTGTTTACACAAGTATATTTAAGTTTCTAGGTGCTCTGGCATGCCTTAAATTTAAGGTTTTTGGTGTGGGAGTGGGGTGGGATGTGTTCTATACCCAGCAGTGCTCAGGGATCACTCCTGGCAGAGCTCAGGGGATCTGATGTGGTGTCAGGTTTGAACCTAGGTCAGCTGCATGCAAAGTAAGTGCTTTAACTCCTGGCTCCAAATGTGTTTTTACTGCTGTGTTTTGAAAATGCAGCTGCATTATTCTAATGCAACTCAGAACTGTGATGTCGGGTAGAAACACCTGAACCATGAGGCTGTGCTCAGCACCAGGCGGCTTCCCCCTGACCCTGTCGCACTGACCGTGGTGCCCCCTCCTGCTCTCTGGCCACAAGGGCATAATCACTGGCATGAGACCAAAGGCTGATCTTCCGTTGGACAGAAGCAGGTGGTTCATGCAGCTGGGTCCCCATGCAGCAAGACAGACGGAGGCCGGAGAAGCAGCAGAGGGAGCAGAGAGGCCAAGGCCTTGCAGCCCAGCTCTGCATAGTGGCACAAGCATATGGCTACAAACACCTTGATAGAGCATCTTACTGACTGCAAGATGGCCCCAGGGGGAGGGGGGGCAGGTCTTCCTGTGCTCCCACTTTGCAGCTGAGATGGAGGCTTGGTGGGGTGGGAGTCACACCCAGCATCCTGCCTGTCTGCCAAGGACAGGCCCGGGGGAGGGGGGGATATTAGCATATTTCAAAGAAATCATTAAACTAGTTAAAAGATAAGTATTTTAATCTAGGTTCCCCATTTTATACTAAATCATTAATACAGGTCACAAATTGCATTTATTTGCAGACATCCAGAAAACAATCAGAAAAGTGTATATATATCTCTGTATAGATCTTAGTAATAAATTTTATTTGGACAAGAGAACTTGTGCCAGAACAGTCTTGAACAGCATGATTAAGGGCTGCGACACTCTCGAGAGTGGTCACAGATAGGACAGTAAGTGAAGGAAAAACCACTTCAGAGCCGACCATGATCCAGTTAAAAGCGCCTGACAGAAAGTGGACGTGCTAATGCATTTCCTTAGGTCATGACCAGCATGAAAACAATCAGAACACGGATACTCAGCAAACATTCTGGAAATGTGGACAGCAATATGCTGCATTTAAGAGTTAAAACCAGATTCTACTTTAGTGTTAGCATCAAGCCCTTAGGATAAAAACAAACCAAAAAAACCTCCTTTCCCATTTTATATATGTCAAAAACTATTCACACTGAGGCAGTGCTGGGCAGCGGCCCAGCAGGCCTCGCCGCACGGACACGGCCGGGACTAATACTGAAGGTCTTTCCCTTCCTGGCTCTGAGGATGCTACCGGTGCGGAGTCAGGAGAAAGCAATGCAGGTCTCCGGGAATCTCAGCCCTTCCGTACGGAAATGCTCTGCCAATTCAAGTTTCACTCGGTCAGGAAGACGGAAGGATTTAAGGCTTCGGTGACAAGGATAATCCTCTGAGAAATTATTTTCCCTTACAGTCAAGATAAGATAATAGTGTTTACTGTACTTTCTCTTGACTCTGAAATCCCTGGTGTCCTGGAGGCAACTCGCCTGCGATTGAGTCTGCAAGAAAGGAAGGTCCCTCCTCCTCCCCAAGCTGTCCCCGGCCACATTGCAGGGACTGGCCACAGCTCGGCTCTCCGGGAAGCAGGAAAGACCCCGAGGGGGATGCTTTCTAGTAGGTCGAGGACGCTGTGCTCATGGCATCTTCTGAGAGTTTGGTGCTGGCAGGGTGGGTGCTGGCGAAGTACTTGACGTCACTGTCACGGTCCATCTGAAGAGCCATGATGGTCTGCTCGACCGCCTCCAGATGGCAGCTGGCAGAGGCCAAAAAATAATCTGGAGACAAAGAGCAGATCACAGGTGAGGGAGCACAAGCAGGCCAGACCGGTCATCCAGACTGACGTTACATGAAAACGTTAACTGACAGATTCATTTCAACCACGTATATAAGCCTAAATCTATAGTGATCAATGGCATTCATTTAATACATTTAAATGAAATAAAATTCAAATACATTAAGTCAGTTACTTATATATTAATGTACTTAATCTATCTTGATAAAGTGATAATACCATTAAAGTTTTATACCATATATAAATTCCATGCACCCATGGTCTCACACATGCAAGGCATGACCTCTTATCACTGACTCACATATCTGGTACCTAAACTTTGCTGTATCACTGACCGTAGTAAGTGGGAAAGCACTCCTGATACAGCCACACCAGAATCTTCTCTACTTCACTATTTCTATTCAAATCTATTAAATTCTGAATCACTTAAATGATTCCAAAGCAAAAAGCAGTATGTACCCATATTCTATACTGTCTACAACAAAGTTCTTGTGGTGCTACATTCGTTTAGTTCATACCTTTCAACAGGTATTTATTAGGTATCCAGAGGTTATTATAAGTAAAACGATAAATCTAGATGAATTTATCATTTGTAGCAAAACAAACTCTGGGGTATTTGTCTTCTTACCAAAGAATAAAAATGAGAAAAACAAAACGCCTCTTAGCCCCACATGCAGTAGGAGAAGACAAGGTGGGTGTATCAAAGGTAGTTTTCAATTTAGGTTTCAATCCTAAGTGACTGTTCAATTTATAAAACAAATTTTGTATTAAAATTAAGAACAGCAAGAGTGATGAGTGAAACTGCCTTTCCTCACTCTTCAGTACTCTTGTGCCCCTCTCAGAGCCACAGCAGCTTACAGGGCCGTCTCTGATCAGATGATTTCTATGAGCACAGCCAACTTCCACTCAAGACATTCATCCATTCAGGCAGGCTCCAAACCACCCCTCCTCTCCCGAGCCTCAGTCACCCACCTTTCTCTAGCAGAGTCTGTCTTAACGTCTTCGCCAGGAGCACTCTAACATTTGGAACCCTGTCATTTGCTAAGGTCAGCAAATGTGGCATCAGATGCACAGCAAACTGGTCCATGGGAAGGCAGTCATCTTCAATGACAGTCTGTGGGAAGGAATGATGCTTTAGAGCTGCCCACCCAGTCCAATGAGCACTTTAGTCGTTAATCTTCCCGTAACCCAATGCTATTGAGTTTACTGCCCCCCACTTTTTTTTTTTTTTGCGGGGAGGGGGTACACCCAGTAGTGCTCAGGGCTACTTCTGTGCTCAAGTATCACTCCTGGCAGGCCCAGGCAACCCTTCTCCGTGGTGTTGGGGATTGAACCCAGGTCAACCGCGTGCAAGGCAAAGGCCCTATACACGCTACGTCCGCCCTGGCCCCTAATGCGCTTCAATATTCCAAGTTATTGGGAATGCAAAGCAAGAAGGACATCACAAAGCACATACACATATACATGCATACTGCATGGTCTGTGAGCTATGGAGACCTGGGGTGCTGCTGGTTTAGTCATCTTTCTGCACTATGAGCTACGACCCCGACTGCCCTCTAGTGGACAGCACTGGGGATGGCTGCTTCCTAAAGTGCCCGAGAGCCCCCTCAGGGAACCCCGTAGAGCCAGAGGACGCAGCTAGATGGATGCTCCTAGCTCGGAGCTGTGGTGCTGGGCTGGGCCTGGCTGGCTTGCTGCGCACAGCAGGTGCTCCAGCCCTCTGGGCTTTGCTCCCTGGCCCCCAATGCTCGGAGAAGCTGTGACAGAAGAAACACAGTTCAACACAGAGACTATGTCACAAATGATGCACCCTTGCTTACCTGGCAAACAAAGACGAAGGCCTGCCGGCCAGACCACTTAGGACATCTACCGAAATTCTCCACAAGCTCATTGATGAGGTCCACTCCAAATGTGGGTGGTGTGGCCATGTGTAGCTTCTTCACCATCTCACTGACCTAAGGCAGAATAAAGAGGTGAGGAGGAACTTCCCCTCAGATTCTACAAGTGTGCTACTCGACAACGGAGGTCCAACACATACCAACTTGTAGGAAATCCAACGAACAGAAGAAACTTTGTCTGCACAAAGATTCAGAGCAATGGGCCGCAAATAGTCATAAATGTCTCTGGGGCTATATAATTCTAGAAGCAAAATCAGCTGTCTGCAAAAGTGAATTGCAAAAATTAAAATTGCATTACAAATAAAAAATAAGACTATGGGAAACAGCCTGCAATCATCTAAACTGTAATATTGGGCATGGACAACTTTTTCTCTTTTTTGGTTTTTTGTTTTTTTTGGTTTTGGTTTTCTAGGAGTAACCCTAGAGATGCTCAGGATTACTCCTGGCTCCGCACTCAGGAATTACTCCTTGTGGTGCTCAGGGGATATGGGATGCTGGGGATCGAACCCAGGTAGGCTGCATGCAAGGCAAATACTTGCTATCCTATTGCTCTGGCCTGGACACAGAGAAATTTTATGACAATCACATACAATTTTGGTAACTAATTAGGACTGGTGTGCAGGGACATCCCCAGCTGTTCTGGAAATGCATCTAAACCACAGAGCACCTTCTAGGAGCAGCTCGTTCCTGTGGCAGGTAAATTAAGCAGACTGTGTGAAATCGAGTGTCTTCTGGGGCTTGAGCTAGAATCTCCAACCACAATCATTTGGAACCCATTTTCCCCCATAACCTTTGTTTAGAAATCACTGAGAAACCTGCATTTCCAAATACACCCAGTCACTAAGGGCGCCTGTTCCATGTATGACTGGAACTTGACCGTTCCAGCACCCACCAGGTTCATATGACAGGTACACCTGGGACAGAAATGACTTCTACCTGTGTTTATGTTTAAAAATCAGTCATAATCACAGGAAGCAAACTAACAAATATGATTTTAAATTCTGTAGCAATGAGACACAAAATCACTGTCTTGACAGTATAAACTCCACACACTGGCAATGGCCTTCCCCAGGACATCAGGGTCAGGAGGCAGAGGAGGCCCGGGACTGGAGGATGGCTGGCCGGCAGTGGGGACGGGGTGGAAGCGTGCCCACCTCCTCAAGTCTTTCTCTAATGCAAAGTCCAGCTCTGAGCTGCTGGTGAAGGTGCAGGGTGGTCTGTCTGCCAGGGGCACATCTCCCTGGCTCCCATCCACTGCGTTCCCAGGACAACTGGGAGCACAGTGAAAAAACTCTCAGCCTCAGGAGGGACAATCAAGTGTCTTAAGCTAAGAGCCCTCACTGACACTGGCTTTGCTCAGGAGGGGCAGGCCTGAACACATGGTAGGAATTCTGAAAGCTCTGCGCCCCACCTCGTAGGGATTGATACTGAGCTAGAGGAAGCGTCCATTCTCCACTGTACAGAGGCGGGGGCGGGAGGGCCTCGGGAACTCAGGGGTACAGGGTGCTTGCCTTGCACATGATGACCTGGGTTTGATTCCCGCCATTCCATAGGGTCCCCTGGGTCTCACCAGGAGTAATCCCTGGACACCAGACTGTGTGGCCCCAAACTTCCCACTCTTATCTGCCCTCTCTACCCCCTCAAAGATCTGGACTGTAAGACTAAGCTTACCAGGGAGAGGGGCCCCGGTGCCAGCATAGCCATGGATGGCCCAAGGCAGCCCCCAAAAGTCGACAATAAATGCCCAAATAGAGTAAGATGTGAACAATCAGCACAACTCACAAAAAAGCCAAGTGGTAAAACAACTCAAAAGAAGAAATAATATAATTGATAAGTGAATATAATCATATAATGGAGTACTATACATTTAAAATTAAAAAGGAATGAAGTACTGATAAATGCTATAGTGTAAATGTACAATTTCAATTATACGAAAAATCTGGAGTATGAGAATACACAGACTACCCTGGGTCATGCCAACTGTGCTGAGGTGATGGAAGGTACCGAGAGGCTGTTTCAGGGCCAAGCATCTGGGTTTCCATGTAGGCTGAGAGCTGTGATGGCCACACAACTGTGACTACATTATCACCAATGGCAAATATGTAATTATTTTACCATTTTTTTAAAAGGGGAAAAGAAAAAAAAGCTAAGAAAATTCACTGCCAAAAAGACATTACAAGAAATGTGAAATGATTAAGAGATGGGGCTGGAGCTAATCAAGGGAGTGAGGCCCGCACGGGTTAGGCGGGCACCCCAGGAGCCCCTGAGCCAGGGTCCGGGCAGCACTGAACCCTCAGGCCAGGCACTGAGCCCCCAGCAGGGTGGGCCATGGACTGCTGGAGGGGACTTGGTGTTTCCTAAGCACTGTTGACAAAAGGCCCCTCTTTCCCAAATTAAAGTGAGCAATGCCTGAATTTACACAAGCAATAAAGAAATACAGAAAAGATAAAGCGAGGCAGACTACCCAAAACATAATCTGAGACCCTGCTGTTGGACTTACTCAGCCAGTTCAGCTCGAAAGCGCCAGTTTCTACTATTATCTGTCACCAAAAACTCCTGAAGTTGATAAAGGTATTCTCTTCTCTTATCAATATGGAGAAGCTAAAGGAAATTAAAAACAATTTACTAGAATAAGGCATAGATTTTATTCTACTAGACTGTTTCAAACAATTACAAATGATAAAGTCAACTCTTGTAGAGGAGGTGTGGAAGATGCATTTAATTTTTTAGGAACTGGTCAGCTGATTTTTTCCTGAGAATCCCAATTTACTTTCAAGCTGCTTGTTTCCTGTGCCTGCAGTGTCCTGGGCAGAGCACTACTCAGCACCTTCCACCGCGCTCCTAACTCTGATACCCAAGAACTCCTGTTGAAGGCGATGGCATTCTTGTTTACATCTGTGAGCCAGAGGGCGGCACAGGGATGCACAGAGCAAGTTTAGCTCAAGAAGTATTTTTTGGAGTGGGGGAAAAAAAAAACAACCTAATAATTGTCCTATAAATATTTTAAAGTATCTATAGTCAACAAGGGAAAAACATTCCCTAAACTCACGTGATTAGAACAAACTGAGCTGTATGTCAAAAATTAAGAATGACACTGAAAGCAAAGTCTAGATTTGAACTTAATGCCCTGTGGCCACACATCTTTGAGTTAGATTCTTTTATCTTTTTTGTTTTTTTGGGTCATACCCAGCAGTGCTCAGGGTTTACTCCTGGCTCGGTGCTTAGGAATCCCTGGTAAGCTCGGGACCATATGAAATACCAGGGATCGAACCCAGGTCAGCCACAAGGAAAGTGCCCTACCAGCTGTACTGCTGCGCCAGCCCCAGCACACTCAGGGTTAAAATGCAATTCCTGACAATGCTCTGAATGAAGGGTAAACCCAGAAAGGTTTTAGATAGATATTTCAATTCGACTTGTGCAAATATTTGCACAAGTCGAATTGAAATGTCTATAACAGGTATCTGCACTTCTGTGAACAGCACCGGGATCAATACTTTGGTACCTCAAACCTTAGGACTCTTTAAGAGTCCGTTTCTAGGCCAGAGTCTGCGAAGCTGCAGTTTCCCAGAGGAAACAATCTGTACAGTCTGTGTTCACCTGAGACAGATTCCTTCTCAGAGGGAGAGGGAGAGGGGAATTCTGTCCTCCGGAGTGCCACAGAGACCTCCAGGCTTTCAAACCACTTGTTACATGTATTTAATCCCTGCAGTTTTGGGGGGATGCCTCCCAAGCAGGCTGGGCAATTCAGGCACAACAGTCAATGCTTGGGCCAGCGGCATCAGGGAAACCACACAGGGCCAGGAACTGAGCTTGAGGCCCAGTGCATACTGTTCTTTGACTACCTCACAATTCTCTCCAGAATTCAGCAATTTCAGGGGTTGGGAGGGGAGGGGGGTGAATTGTACAGGGAAACTCCAGGGCTGGAGTCAGATCTAGTCAGGTCTAGAGCTACTTCCCCTGACCAGCAGGAGCCCTGTGCTGAGCTGGAAGTAGCCCCCATGCACCGCCCACTATGGCTCAACCACCCCCAAAGTCAGAGAGGTGTAATTATGATTGGAAGTTTACAAGCCAAACGTAGCACAATTACTTTTAAACTAAAATGACACTAAATGGGGCTGGAGAGAAAGCACAGCAGGTAGGGCGTTTGCCTTTCACACAGCCAACCTGGGTTCAATTCCCAGCATTCCATATGGTCCCCAGCACTGCCAGGAGTGATTCCTGAGTAGAGAGCCAGGAGTAACCCTTGCGCATCACCAGGTGCGACCCAAAAAGAAAATAAATAAAATGACACTAATCAAACTGATCTAAAAATTGGACTATTTCTTTTTAAAGTTACATCTCACCAGTGACTCGTGGCTACATATTTTATATACAGACCATAAAGAAATCTGCATTAGATGCTTGGTGATAGCTGAAAATAAATTTTAGACCTACAGTGGTATTTTGGTATTTAAAATTTTATACAAAAGAAATCAATACTTACTTTCAGAAAATCATGCAAGTGTTTAAGGATACCTATCCTGACTTCATCAAGGTCTTTCAAAAATCCATTAAAGATCGGAACCAGATCTGCAGCTGTCAACTGATCTCCAAGAATGACTGCAAGCTCATGGATGGAGAAGGCGAGAGTTCTTCGAACTTTCCACTGCAGAAGCAAAAATAACTGCATTAATAAGTGGAAAGCACTTAGATTTAAACTTTTACACAAAATATGAGAGCAAATTTATATCTGGCTTAATCACAAAAAACATCAAATAGGACAGTAAGTAAAAATAAACACTAGGCCTTAAATGGCTATTATGCATTTTTCAAACTTGCCAGAAAGCTGCAGGTCCCCGCACAGACTAGCACCACTTCCTTTCTGAGATGAGGGCGTGGCCGGGGGGTGGAGCGTGTGGTGTTCTCTGGGCAGCCCAGCTGCCATTACACTCTATCTGGCCCCATACCCCACAGCTTCTCTTAGGTCACAACACACCCCACCTGGCTGTTAAATTGGTGTCACGAAAGACTGAGGACAGGTGTTTGTCCCTATTAGTCCTGGAAAGGAAACCCTGAACAGAAAGGTCCTCCCTCCCACTCTGAGGTCGCTCTTGTGATGACTGGGGTCGCCGACTGAGCTGTGTCGCTCACACAGAGCTGACAGAGACCCTCTCCCAGGCTGTGGCACTCGGGACCAGACAGCAGGAGACAGGACGGTGGGCATGACCAGATGCGAATCTGCCTGGGTGAGGCCTGGAGCAGCTGCGCATCTGTCCTGGGGCTGTCTGGGCCAGCCTGGGCTCAGGTCATTTACAGGAAAGCCGTGCTGTTGCTTTAAGTTCTCCGGAACCCACGTTTCTCTGACTGTAAGCACTTGTTAGGACAGGAACGGAAGTCCTGTTGGGAAGGTAACACTGCCTGTTTCCCATGCACATTCCATGTCCTGCTCACCTGCATGTCCGAGGCCAGAGTCTCGTACGTCTCCCTCAGGCAGTGCCAGTTCTGCCTGCCCAGGGTCAGGGCCACGCCAGGCAGGCTGTACGCACAGTGCTTGGCGATCTCTGTGTCCACAGTCTGTGCGCGGGAGGGGTCGGTCATCGATAAATATTGGTCTAAGAGGTCCTGAGGGACAACATCCTAATGCAGAAAAAAGGACAGTGGACAGTAAGCACTCTGAGGTACTGTAGCCTAGATTAGGCAAGCTTTATTTTTATTACTGGGGGAGGTGATGGGGATACACTTGGCAGTGTTCAGGAGCTCTGCCTGTATCTGTTTTCAGAAGTGACAGCTGGCAGTGCTCAAGGGACCACATGTAGGTACCAGGACTGTCATGAGCAAGGCAAACACCTCACCTCCTGTACCCTCTCTCTGGCACAACAAACATTTTAAAATGTAAGCATATAACATGCCATCTCAAATAGTAAAAGAAAAAAATAAATCTCAAAATACCAACTTTCTAATAATGGAAATAGAGTTAAGAAAAACACGCCAAGGAAACATACACATAAATGAATAAAAACACCCATAGGAGAAAAAAAAATCAGTGAGTGTGGCTGATTATAAGTGACTTATAAATGGAGTAAAATGAGCACATGTGCCATAAGCAACATGTTGTTTTAACAGGAGACATTCCTGGCTGTGCTGGGGATGTGACTCTGGGCCCCACGTGGGCGCGGCTGCTCAGGCCACGGTGAGCTCCACAGCTGGGGTCATAGGCTGCAGCTGCTCAAAGGTGCCAACATGGACACCACTCCTGCTGTAAGGGCCAGCCCCTGCGTCCCCCTGGGCCGCAGGTCGGGGCAGAGCTCTCTTCACCCTGCGGGGGACAGAGGCCCAAGGGAATAAGCCACTTGCCTTTAGGGAGAAACTCTGCAATAACCTACACAAATGTAAACTGTGTGTATATACACATACACATAGAAAACATATAACCCATTTGTGTGAAATAAACTTGAAATTCAACTTCATGGCATGACATAATCTATGTATTTACTTAAAACGTGCCCAAGTGGAGAAAATACTAAGAATACTGATTCCATTTTTAAAATGTTTGTTTTTGGGTAACACCCAGCAGAGCTCTGGGGTCACTCCTGGCTGTGCTCAGGGGACTCGGCGTGGTGCTGGTGGCTGAAGCAGGGTCAGCTGTGTGCAGTGCCAAGGGCCTTAGTGCCTGTGTCTCTCTGGTTCCCGAGCTCCATTTTTAACTAACAGAAGAAATAAAGATGGATCACACCAGAGCCTGACGTAGGAGATCTTGAAGCAAACAACATGCTCAGATAAGGACAATACATGTAGCAGTTTATGACATCACAATATAGCTAAAGCTATCAGCACCTACGGAATTACTGGGTATAGCCCCTTCTCATCATGGAGCATAACATAGCATGATTTTCCAAAAAAGAAGAGAAGACAAAAAAGAAAGTATAAAACTATCACATACTAACACTCCTGTAGAAAGATTTTTTTTCAACAGATACAGAATGATCTCTTTTTATTGTGGGTATAAAGAAACATACTAGGCGTGAACAAATGGTGGGGGCTTCTCTCAGACAGAGAGGGACTGGTATGAACTTGCACAAACAACAAAATGAGACCCCTCCGCACATCAGGGCGAGACCTGGTGAGAAACAGTCTTAAAGCAGACGGTAAACCACACAAGCGAGAAATCTCTGGTTACTTACTTGTACTTTTGATCTCCTTTCCTCATCAGGGCTAAAACTACTATTGGTGCTCAAGTCTGAATCATTGTGAATGTAGCGAAGAGTGGAGTCCATATTCTGTTAGGAAAAAATATTGACTTAGAGAGCTGGTCTGGCTTTAAGTTTCCCTCACTGAGCTATCTTGACTAAGTTACTTACCTTTCGAGAGTGCCAGGACACATAAGTACGTATAAATTCTCCTGTTTTCTCTTGAAAGTTTATAAACATATGCAACAATTTTTACTAACTTCCACTGACTATATCAAACCTAACAGGCTGGTAAATGAATTCCAGAATGAATGTAATTAAAAAGTAAATTTAGAAGTAACTTCAAAATTGCTTGCAAAAGTATTTAGAGGGTACTTTAGTGAACTATTTTGGAGGCACGGGCTGTCATATGCTTTTATTATTAGTAGTATTCCTAATTATTAATTCCCAGTTTCATCCGTTTTCTCTCTTGAGAGTCCAAAAGAAAAATAAAGCACCTTTTAAAACACAGGTAAGCCACAGTATTCAAATTGTCAATGACATTAAGTGGTCAAGATTTCATTAGGAAGCACTGAAGCATTTACACAAAACTTGTTAAAAACCTGACTTCTAACCACTCTAACGGAAAACAAGAGAAACCCCCACGCGTGCAAGGACCTTCTCGCCAGCCCGACATGATGCAGGCGCCCTCTCTCCTGAAGCGACTCATCACCTGCTTCTGGCCATCAGCGCTACACTGCTCCCTGCTTGTGTACAGACAGGGGAAGGGACTAGGGGCCCTAAATGTCGCTGGCCTGGTTGGGCTGCAGCAGGGATCTGGGAGGCTGATACAGAACAGCTCCAAGGACACGGCAGAGACGATGCGGGAACAGTACCCACCCTCACTCTCCAGACTCCAGATAATGCCACTGGCCCTCCGCAACTTGGCCTCAAGTCCCGATGTTCCGCTCAGAATACTGTGTTGCTTGCTGCAGTGAAATGGTCCGATCAGAAACAAAGCACCTCTCCGAAAAGAAAAGGGAAGAGTTAATGATTCTTGACAAAGGGCTTTGTCTCCAGTAAGACTATTTCACTGCAGGGAGCTACGTTCGCATGGCGGCTACTCTAAGCTCGTCATGTAGACAGGACTGGGCTCCTCTTGTCCAAGCACTTCTAACAGGACAGAGTCACAGAGACAGGATGAGGACACTAGCGAGTGACTACAGTGGCCGGCTACAACACTATCCCCAGCAGAAGAAGGTCCGAGGCGCAGCTCTCGCGGGGCAGGCACGCGGCTGAGTGTGTTACCTCCACAGCATCGCCGATCAAAGGCACGGAGGAGTCATGATTCAGCTGACAGTCGGGTAGCTCATCGGCGACCAGCTCGTCTGGCGCGTCTCTTCTCTTTTCTGCATCGCCGGCCTCGTCGCAGGAATCCAGGCTGGAAACACGCAGCGCGGCCGAGAGCACGTCCACTTGTGCTGCGGGCAGAACGGGAGAGGCAGGTGAGCGGTGGCTCTGCCGGGGAGGACGCTGCTATGGTGAATCATTAGTCCTCCAAGAGGAAAAGGAGAAAACGGTGTGCTTTCGCGAGATTAAAGATGTTTATCCACTACTGTACATTATTCTGCGTTAGTAAGAGGAGAGAATTCTATCTAGTTTAGGCGGGACCCCCAATTGATTAAGAGTCAATTTCAGAGTAAGTGAACTATGTTGTGGTAGTGCGCGAAGCAAACTGACAAGGCTTACTTACTAAGCTATTTTAGCAGAAGAGCGCCACACAAACCCTGCCAATATAAAACAACGGTAATTACAAAGATTTTTGTTGCAGTTAAATTTTTAACATCTCAAACCTTAACCCAGTTCTGCTGCATTTCATTCTAAATGTGAGATTAGTGATCTGTCCCAAACACCAAACTCCAATGGCTCATGGTAAGTGCAACAAACAGAAATGACCACCAAACGCTAGCATGCAGCAGATGTCGAGGTTTCGAACTGCACCTTCTTTACGAAAGGGATTAAAACTAATGAAAAGCATCCCTCCACTCTCCCAAATAAGAAATTTAGCAAGATACGGCGCTTAGTATAACTTCGAATAATGATCTATCTGGGTGCTGAAAATAGAGTAACTTCAATTTATTTAGCACTGCATTGCCCCCCCCGTTGTTCATAGATTTGCTCAAATGGGCACCAATAACGTCTCACAACAAAGTGTGAGACTTGTTACTGTTTTCGGAATATTGAATACATCATGGGTAGCTTGCCAGGCTTTGCTGTACAGGTGAAATACTTTTGGTAGCTTGCTGGGCTCTCCGAGAGGAGCAGAAGAATCGAACCCGGGTCGGCCATGTCGGCTGCATGCAAGGCAAATGCCTTACCCGCTGTGCTATTGCAAAAAAATTTATTTTGGGGCCATACCTGACAGTGCTCAGAGGTTACTCCTGCCTCTGTACTCAGGGATCACTTCTGGCAAGGCTTGAGGGACCATGTGGGATGCTGGGGCTTGAACCTGGGTCGGCCACATGCCAGGCAAATACCCTCCCCACACAACTGTCTCTCTCTGCTCCCTTAACTTAATTTGCAAAAAATCAGTAAGTTGTCCCCAGTGTACTTAAAAATGTAAAGCAACCAGTGGCCAACCATTGAGATATGCTGTCACTATGCTACAGCATTTATAAATTTAATAAATTTACTACATTATATTAGGTATTTACCTATAGAGAGTTAATTATGGAGAATGAGGTTTTATAGGATTAGATTTGCTAAATTAAAAAAATCCAAGGTATTTAATCACAAAAAATCAACATATGAAACTCATCCTGATCCTTCGTAGAATTTCAGCTTCAACATAAACAAGGGCTTTAATCATTTAGCTCCCCTCCTTCTTTTAAGTTCCCCATATTAAATTCAAATAGTAGTGAAAGAGAATGTACAGTGCATAGCACTGTCCTTCCACTGTTCATCAATTTGCGCAAGCGGGCACCAGTAACGTCTCCATTGTGAGACTTCTTGGTGTGGGCAGGATACTCTCAGTAGCTTGATGGGCTCTCCGAGAAGGACGGAGGAATGGACCCCAGGTTGGCTGCGTGCAAGACAAATGCCCTACCCTTGTGCTATCGCTCCAGCCTATACAATGCATACGGGCTAAAACATTTTGTTCCCATAAAATGCATTAGAAGGGGTTTGTGTGAAAGTTCCGTATTAAGTTCAACGCCTACTGGGCATCCGCCACCCCCACAATGAGCTGGCGGGGCTGCTCCTACGATCCTTGGCAAATCACACACGTGCAGGAGCACCCTGCAAAGAAAAGGGTCGAATTTGTTTGCCGGGTCTGAATTGGAAAGAATTAATCTATGAATCTGGGCATTTTTTCCTTTTGCTATGTATGATGCAGCCATTATAAATCAAGCTGCTGCAATAATCCAACGCAGTCACTGTTCAAGGTCAATCAGAATTAGCCACCTAGTAATCTCAACTGCCTGGGATTTGGAAACTGTTTTTTTTTTTCTTTTTGGGTCACACCCAGCAATGCTCAGGGGTTACTTCTGGCTCTGAACTCAGGAATCACTCCTGGAGATGCTTGGGGGACTATAAGGTTGCCGAGAATAGAACCCAGGTCGGCCGCGTGCAAGGCAAACACCCTACCCACTGTGCTGTCGTTCCAGCCCTTGGAAACTGTGTCTGAATGATGCCAGAAAAGCCTCCACTCTCCTAGTATCTGGAATGTGGACACCCTGGCTCCCTTTTGGCCTTCCATGTAAAGTCTCTTTTCTTTGTTCCTGACAGGTGTATATCAATCTAGACCCTGAAAACACTATATATATATATATATATATATATATATATATATATATTATTTTTTTTTTTGACAAAAACTTGTAAGAAAAAAGAAAAGCATCACTACTTTGAGGATGGTAAAAGCTACATGAGCAAGACTTTAAAAAGCAAACAAAGCCTTAGAAGCAAAGAGTGCCTATGACTTGAGAGAGCTCCTCAGGACACGCCCCCGGGGGAGTGCAGTATGGTGCAGAGGTCTGCAAAACGGAACCAAAGGGAACCCAGGCCTGTGAGCAGATGCTCTGAAATGGCCAAGGTCCAAGTTCAGTGCTGGCACTGCATCCCTGCCCCTCCCCGCTGGTCATCACGGAGAGCGACCACCGTGCTGAAAGGTTCCTCTGCAGACAAGGGACTCACCCTGGAAGAACGCTTCCCAGGGGCAGGAAAGCAGCACTGCTCTGCACGTGTGAGGCCTGGGTCAGATCCCAAGCACTACCACAAAAAATGGGAGGGAAAAAAACTGCCCACCCATCTATCCAAAACAAGGGGGAAAGACCTACAAACACCACAATTTAGTCTCTGATCAAAACTCTCCAACCTGGGTTAAATGTCGACCTTCTGAAAAGGGTATTTTGGGATCAGGGAAACAGCAAAGGGAAGGGCTGGAATACAGGGTTTGTAGGCAGGAGCAGCAGGTTTGATTCCCTGTACCCCATGCCCCCCCCCCAAATAAATTTAAAAGCAGGCATTTGTTTGGGCTGGGCCAGCCCGAGGCCGCGTGCTCACCATGCACTCGGTCCCCCCCAGCACTGAGGGCGGGGTACGGGGAGCAGCGGTCGCTGGACCCCAAACACCACTGGAGGGGCACCCCTTCAGCCCCGCCCACAAAGGCAGACTCTGCCGGTGGAGGAGGTCACATGCAGTCATTCCTGCTCTGCACTCAGGAGTGACTCCAGGCAGTGCCGAAGGACCACGAGGTACCGGGGCATCATTTTGGGGGGAGGGGTCACCCACCTAGCAATGCTCAGGAGTTATCCTGGCTCTGCACTCAGGAATTACTTGTGGTGGTGCTCGGGGGACCAAGGGAAGCCAGAGATTGGCTGTGTGCAAGGCAAGTGTCCAACCCACTGTCCGCTGCTGGCACCAGGGTACCGGGATCAAACTCAAGCTGGCTGCGTGCAAAGCGAGAGCCCTACATGCTGTACGTGGCTGCAGCCCCAGGTAGATATTTTTGACAGTTTGAAAGAAATAGGGCGCATGCCTTGCACGCCACCGACACGGCCGACCCGAGTTCGATTCCTTTGCCCCTCTTGGAGAGCCTGGCAAGCTACCAAGAGGATCTCGCCTGCATGGCAAAGCCTGGCAAGCTACCTGTGACGTAGTTGATATGCCAAACACAGTAACAAGTCTCAGGATGGAGATGCTACTGGGCCTGCTCGAGCAAATCGATGAACAATGGGAAGACAATGACAATGACAGTGAATGCTCACAATGGCCATATAAGACACCCAGTATTACGGTATATACCCCTCTTTCTGCAGCACTGTGGACTGAACCCAGCACAAGGCTCAGACACCCTTTAACAAAGTGCACTACAACATTCACCACTAAGGAAAGTCAAACATGACCTTAGATTTCAATGAAATCCAAAGCTCATGTCATGCAGCCTCAGCCGCGCTCCCTCACCCCACCACACCCCTCCCCACACCACTCCTCCCCAGCCCCCTCTTTCTGTTGCACCACTCAGCCCTTCCTGTTCTTTAGGCTGGGGGTTTTGCTAGGTCTGTTGCAGCTGTCTCTGAGTGCCTGAGGAAATACTTCACTCACAATCAAGACGAGTCACAGTGAGCAGGCTGTGAAGTATTGCCCTCACGAGAGAAAAGAACACCAGGACAAGCATAAACACTATCAGGTGTAAAAGATAAATGGGAAACAGAACAGACTAAGTTTTGATACTTAAATTTACCAGAAGTCTGCAAATTCACAGTACTGATTATTTGGGGGGGGGGGGGGGGGGGGGGGGGGGGAAACGGCATACCCAGTAGTGCTCAGGGATCTCTCCTCATGGTACTCAAGAGGACCCTCTGCAATGGCAGGGACTGAACCAGGGGCAGTCACATGTGAGGCAAGCGTCTTAGCTCCTGTACCATCTCTCCAGCCCATGACACAATTTTTTTTTTGGTGGGGGGAGGGGGGTTTAGTAGTGGGGGGAAACTCCCGACAGTGCTCAGAGCTTATTTCTGGTTCTGCATTCAGGGACCACTCCTGGCAGGCTTGGAGGACTATTATGAGGTGCCAGAGTAAGCCGTATGCAAGGCAAGCACCCGAACCACGGTACTATCATTCTGCCCCAATCCCCAGTACAAGTTCAGTCCAATAGTATTAGGCTTCTTCTGATATCCTGAAGCCTGCATGCATGTGAAGTTGTTTTTAAAGCAAACCATGCATATTACTTACAGCTTACTTGTTAAAAAAAAAAAGAATTTTATATGTTGCTTATTCAAATTTCAATGGGTACTTATTAAAGTACCTATCATGTGGCAGAGGACTAGCAAATTATACAATGCAATGAAAGTTCCTGAAATAGGCTTAAAGCATAGCTGGTAATCTTTATTTCATAAGAAAACTATGTAAGAAATACAAACAGGGGTCAGAGAGTACCCTAGGTAAGGCACACATGCCTTGCATGCTGCCAGCCTGGGTTTGACCCGGCCCCAACCAGGAATGATCCTGAGCACAAATCCAGGATTAAGCCCAATGCACAGCTGGGTGTGGCCCAAAACAAAAACAAATGTAGAATTATAATTACTGAAGTTAGAGCAAATAAACAAAACTTGTCAAATATTATTAAAATGTATTTTAAACAAAAAGCTGAAAACTGGAGTCAAATATTTTTCAAGACATCAGCTGTTGAACACCCTTAAAAGAAGGTCTAAATTCTTAGTTTCTGTGTCTCATTTCTCATAAGGAGATGAGAATTCAGTACTTGCTGTACCATCAAACACAATCTGTCATTTAAAAAGCCACAGAATATAGAAAACTAAAAGTAAAGCCACAGGACTTTTGTAAAAGATAATCTATCGTGAAAGATTAATAGGATGTTCTACTGAAAACTCTATTCAGTGAAAATACAGTGAAAATTAAAGAGTGATTTGTAAATTAACACAAATCTATTATATGCTACTTAAGAATAAAGAGGTAACCACATCTTAAATGAAATTCTAGGAAAATTAGCTTAATTTTCCTAAAAAAAAAAAAAAAAAAAAAAAAGACACACCAAAATATAAAAGGTAGTTTTTTCTAGGAGACAATGCCAGAAAACAATATATTTAGAATCAAGAACTTGAGTGATGCTTCATCATACCTTTGACATCTGGGTCATCAATATGGGGCTCGAGATTTTCTATCATTTCTTCAAGTTCCTTTCGGGTGGCCATGGGGATATTTGGAATACTTGGTACAGTGACTTCACACGATGCTTCAGGGTGCTCTGGGCTGCATTTTTCCCCAGAGTCCTGTTCAAGCTCGATATCCAGATCGATCTCAGGAAGAGGAGTCCTCCAGAAATGGAAGGAGTTGTACAACTCCTGATCTAAGACAGCGGAATCTTGTGAGCTGGGGTTACCAGGCTTTTTATCATTCTCACTACTAGCTGCTTCCTGAGGAGTTTCTGAGGACAAAGTACAAAGTAAAGAGCTGTCCATTGGAACATTTATTTCACCTGGAGATTTCTTAGATGTTTCAGTATCCTCTTCCATCGTTTTTTCCAGTTTGACACTGGAATTATCCACAAAGGGATCGGAACAATCATCTTCAGGCCTGATCTGTACATCCTCTGGCACTTCTTGACTTTTGATCCTTTTATTGTTTCATTTGGGGGAAAAACATGAAAGTATAAGAAAGTTACTGAAAAAAAGTCAATGAAACATCGTCCAAAAAAGCACTTAGACAAGCTAAGTATTAAAACTTATAGACAATCCATTCAAATTGAGTGATTTATGTATGTTACAGATAATGCTTCTTTTTCCATCAGAGGGTCTGTATTCAGAGAGGTACACATCCGTGAAGCATAAGTCTAGATATGAAAATATATTAGTTGGAGAAGATAACATTCAAGAATCCTGGGATTCTACAATACCATGTTGATTTCAATAATTAAAAGCTACAGAAAAATAGTAGGAAGATAAATCCTCCAGTAGATTTTAAGTAAAATTCTTAAATTATTTGATTTTTAGGACTTGTGCTGCCATTCTGCTTAAATGATATGCTAAAAGCTAAAAACACATTTGTTTACATAAAAAGAAAAGGAAAAAACAGTATACTTCATCAGAAAATATCTACTCTCACAAAATATATTAAAATCTGCTTACGTGTAAACACAAAGATATATTTTTTCTTTCACACTTTGCAGTTCCCAAAGATTTTCCCGTAATGTCATAATGTAAACAATTAGGACAAATTTCTAAAGTTTAGTACTTGTTAAAGCACTGTACTCATGACTTTAACTCAGGCATGACAGTTTTAGTTTTTAATGTTTATCCCCTCAAATTTTATCTGACTCAAGTAAATTTGACAAACATGGATTGAGCACCTACTAGGAGCCAGGAACTGAAATCTATATTGATTCATATGTGAATAAGATGCAGATCTTGCTTGTGAGATTAGTATTTAGGTACAGAGAGAGGTCTAAACACATAAGCAAATAACTGTGAGAGTGGTAAGCAAGGAAGTACACACTGAACACAGGAAGCAAGCCAAAAGGAATGGAAACAGAAAGGCTTTAACGATTTGAGTTACATCCAGAAGAAGCAGTGATCATGAGACAAAAGAGCAGCAAATGTACTCAAAGAAGCAACAGCAGATGCAAAGGTCAGAGTGGTAGAAGAGGCACAGCCTTCTCGGGAAAACAGAATGACTTCTTTCATGTCTAGGAAAAGAAAATGATGGATACGGCAGAAAAATTCAGGAACCAGTGAATTCCATACCAAACCCCTCTGGAATTGATCCCACAGGCTATGGGAAATGATGCAGAATTAAAGGAATTACAGTTTTTGATGTGTTATTTTTGAAAGACCAATTGATGCAGTCTAGAAAATGGGTTGGAGGAAATACAGGCAGGAATAAAAGAATCTCCAGGTTACGTAAGACACTGAACACAGGTGATGACACTCAAAGACTCGAACACTTGTTGCATGCTGGCACTACAACAAGGCAGGGATGACCATCCAGAAGTGCAAAGTTCTGCTTCAGACAGGCTCAGTAGGGCATCTACGCTAAAGTTTAGGTGGTGATGTCTATGGAAAACTAGCTGGCCACGAGAGACAGATATGAAGATTATCAGTTGAGGGGAGTGTGTTTGAGCCGTGGATGTGTGTGATGAAAGAAAAATGGATAAAAAAATATAACCGTCATGCAGACAAGAGCGAGGAATTTTTAAGCAGTTTTTCCTCCCTGCTGTCCATTTATGCATATTTTTAGGTTTAGGGCAAAGGGATGAAGTAGCTGAGAAGAACAATGTCTTTCTGAGATAAAGAAAGCTTCTCAAGAACACTGCTTTTATGGGTGAACGGGGAACATCTTCCTAAGAAGTATGAAAGGGAGAAAAGGACACAGGCAAATCTGTGAGCAAAGAAAAAGCAAAGATGATTCTTGAGATAAGTGTCTCCACATATACAAGAGCGAGCGGAGAGGATGCAGAGTAAGAGGCAGAACAGCACTGCTGGGCATGAAGCATCCAGTCTGCAAGGGCTGGCCCCCAAAGCCACCTTCATTTTGTTCTCTGAAAGAATAGTTCAAAAAACTACCTATTTTTTTTTTTAAATCTTAGTACAAAAATGTCATTTGCAAGCATACTACACAGCACTAGTATTTTAATTTGTTCTTTCCCTTTTGTTCGTGTAACCATAAAAACATGTCCTGTCACTGTCACTGTCCTCCCGTTGTTCATCGATTTGCTTGAGTGGGACCAGTAACATCTCCATTGTGAGACTTGTTACTGTGTTTGGCATATTGAATACTTCATGGATAGCTTGCCAGGCTTTGCCGTGCGGGTGATATACTCTCGATAGCTTGCCAGGCTCTCCGAGAGGGGCGAAGGAATTGAACTCTGGTCGACCGGGTCGGCCATGTACAAGGCAAACGCCCTACTCGCTGTGCTATCGCTCCAGCCCATAAAAACATGTAGTATTTGTAAACAATGAAGTTCTGCTGCAACTTGAAGAAATCAAACTTTACTGAGTCCTCTGGTGGTAGAGCTAGGGTGTTGGAATCACATATGTATGAAACCATCACTACCTATACATCATTATGAGTCATAGTATCTTAATGAAGATTTTATAAACAAGAACTAGACTTCAAATTCTTAAATTCTTTTTCAAGCACTGGCACATTAATATAAAACAGCTTTTAGGGACTCCATTTTTTTTCTCTCATGCTTTTGGGACAGCACCTGGTGGTGCTCAGGGGTTACTCCTGGCTCTGCACTCAGGAATTACTCCTGGCAGTGCTCAAGGGATGTGGGTTGCCAGGAACTGAACCTGGATCACTTACATGCAAGGCCAGCACCCTCTCTGCTATAATAAGGCTCCAGTGCCATGGACTCAAATTCTTACTATCATAAAAATGAGTGATTTTAAAACTTAGCATAATGAGTAGTTTAGTGAGGATAAAAACTAAATGGGGTAAAATGTTTTAAGATTTCATCTGTTATGTGAGGAGTTTAAGAAAATATGCAAAATGAATCTAAATAAAAAGCTACTCAGTATCTAAAACTATTTCTTTTTTTTTTTTTTAATGTAGGAGTACTGCTATTTATTCAGCCAATGATTGGGCTGATTGAATTGGGCATGAACTCCACTCTAAAACTATTTCTTGGGTTTTGAAGTACTTTATTAACTTCACCATGGCATGCAGATTAAAATTTAGTATTCTAGGCAGCAAAAAAACAGTGATAACAAATTTACTCAGTGTCCAACCTTCAACCTTTTAATAAAGTTTTTAAAAAGTAAACACATTTTTTTGTTTGTTTGTTTTTACAAGGAGATGCTCAGGATTTACTCCTGGCTCTGCACTCAGGAATTACTCCTGGCGGTGCTTGGGGGACATATGGGATACTGGGCATTCAACTCAGGTCAGCTGCATGCAAGGTCAATGCCCTACCTGTTGTACTATCGTTCTGGTCCCAAATAGTAACCTCTTTTGACTAAAACATTGTACTACATTCCATTATGAACTACTACAATTTTAATAGCTGCTTCCCTTTTCTATTTTTTTTTTTGTTTGTTCTAGGGACACACCTGGTGGTGCTCAGGTTTTACTCTTGGCCTTGCACTCAGGAATTAAGTTCTGGCGGTGCTTGGGATCCTACGGGATCAAATCCAGGTCAGCCACATGCAAGGCAAAATGCACTGCCTGCTGTGCTATCACTCCAGCCCCCTGCATACCCATTTTTCCTGGAGCTGTTTAACAGTCAATGCAAGATACCAAAAGTAAAAACTGCATTAACTGTGACACAAAAGCTTTCAAAATACTTTCAAAACAATCAAAGTATGTTCTGAAAATTGATGAGACAGAATTCTTTATAAGAAGAGAACAGTACTGTCTCCTGAGAGACTATAGGTGAAAGAGCTCCAGAGGGGACTCAGCAGTTTCTCCCACAGAGTCTTCTGCTTCCTCTGGTGTTTCCATGCAATTACAATCATATCCTTATGACTCTTCACTTATGACTGTGGGCCTAGGAAATTAAGTCATGAAACATTCTGAAATCAAAGAAAAAAAATAAGACACATCTTTCATGTAGTATGAATAAACTAAGTGAAATGATAACATCAGTGACGTGCTTCCAATTTCACTTTAGAATGAATATACAGCTGGATTAACCGTTTAGGACAAAAAGTTAGCCTAAGTAGTTCAGTTATATATGGCTTCTGAGATTAAGCCCAGTAACTTTCTTTTTTTTTTTTGCTTTTTGCATTATACCCGGCAATACTCAGAGATTATTCCTGATTTTGCACTTAGGAATCACTCTTGGTAATGCTTGGGGACCATACGGGATGCCAGGGATTGAACTCGGGTCAACCATGTGCAAGGCAAACAAACACCCTACTTACTGTACTATCCCTCCAGCCACCAGTATTTTCTTAAAATAATTCTGTCAAGATTTATTATGTGATATAACTCTGTGCCAGACTAAATGAAGGTGTTTTCAAAGACAAACTAGGCTGGAGGGGAGATGGTGCCAGGAAGAGGGCTCAAAGGGCTGGAGTGCAAGACTGGCGATCCTGTGGTGGTGGTGGTGGTGGTGTGGGGGGGCTCCACGCCCAGAAGTCCTAGTCCCAAGCACTGCTGGCTAGCACTGAGTACCGAGGCAGGAGCCCTTGAGCACCTTCAGGTGTGGCGCTCATAGAAACCAAGGCAGCTCCATGTGGTTGGCTGCTGGCTAACTGGACGGTATCTATGCAAACACACAATTTAAAATAGCTTGTTAAAATTAGTGCCCTCATTCCAGTGCTACTGACAGCAAAGACATGAACACACTGAATTTCCTAAAAAAGTCAGGAAAAGACTCTTGGGAGTAAGTCTCGAGACAGCAAACAAAACACTGACATTCAGCTTGTTAAATGAGGTACGGACGGACAGATCAGGATGGCTTCCCGAACAGAAAGCAGGGAGAACCAAAGGAACACAGTGTATTAAGAGAACTAAGTAACAATTGGCTCCACAGAGTAGAAAAGAAAATGCTTATTTTACATAATTAAAAATAGCAAATTTGAGTGTCTACCTGTTCTTAGAAATTGCCTTTTATTAACATTTCCAAAGCGTTCAATAACTTGACTCAGCGTAAATGTCAGATTTATAAGCAATAAATGCTTCAAGAGTAGTAAAGTAACATTATTTCCAGGATTTGATGAAATATTACATAATAGTGGAAGCATGTTGCCAAAAACTTGCTTTGTGAAATATTTCTTGAATATTTTAGAAACTGAGAGAACCTTGAGGAATCAAGTTCTACACTTTCATCTACAGTAGCTGGTTCATAGTAAGTGCTCAATTATAATCAATTATGGGTCTTAAATAAAAACAGTTTAAAACTAACTTAAAAGAAAATGTCAGTGAAGTACTGAAGAGAGGGTGGACAAACTACTGATCTGAGATTAATATAGGAGTAACTCATTCTGAAGTTAGGAATAGATACAAATATTTTTACAGTATTTAACCTAACTTCCCTAGACAAGAACTCTCCTTTCCTTCACACAATTCAAGAAAGTGATGTCCAATGCTACAAACAGTACTGATTTTATATGAAAACGTATCCTTTTACAATGGAAGAGAAATTAAGATGTGTAGTGAAAACATGTCAGATCTCTTTTAAGAATCTCTTCCAATGATGTTCAACATCAATAGTAAACTATCGGCCATGGTAGGCAAACCAACCATTTGGTCAATTAGTTCTATAGGAACAGTAAGGCCACGTGCTTATGCATTTTCTACGGTTGCTTTCTACTCTAAAGGTAGAGGTAAAATTAAGTTGTGAAAGAAACCAAAAATATTTATCATTTGGCCTTCCACACAGTTTCTTGACTTTGTTCTATATTATTCTCTGTAAAATTTAATTTTCACTAGACTCTCAGATTTGAAAAGAAATAAATCACATAAAGTTTTTATACAATTAGATAGTGAAAAGGTCTGCTGGTATAAAAAATGAAAAGCTGGTAACACCCCCCACCCTCATCACTTTTGTCAAACTCTTTGTAGCAGCTGTTTTCAAAAGAACTGACAGAATTTGCTTGCTAGGAAGACAGGCTTAGAGTGATTTTTTTTCTTCCTTTACAAAAAACAGTACCTCAGGTTTGTTTGGCTATTCAGCAGGACAGTAGGAGAACGGGCAAAAAGGTAAAACAAGGCAGCAGAGAAGAAAGGAAGAACTGCCAAATCAAAACACCAAGAAAGCAATTATCACAGTATCAAGACCTACGAAGAAAATGTCCATTAGCATCATGGTAAGGGAGGGACAAGCACTATGGTAACTCAAGCATTATAGGCAGGGACCGTTTCAAAATCAGGCACTAAATTATTTCAAGTGTAAACGCTAACTGTTTGTGCACAACTTCCCATGCACTGTTGGTCTTGAATCATTTTTCCTTAAGAATATAATAAGCTTTTAAAACCTGAAGCTGAACTGTTTTAATGCAAAAAAAATTACAGATAATTATTCTAAGGTAATTTTTTTAAAGATATAGAAATCTAGTTAATTGAAATGTATATTCTATAATTTTATGCTCATCACTGAAACATTCTCCCCTGAACTGAGCAATTCAATCATTATCTTAGACAGAGAATCCAAGATCCACAATTAAATTGTGACTGAAAAGAATATAATAAAAATGAATGTATTTCTAAATTATATTTTACTTCAAAAATCCCAAATATTTTAATTCATAGAACCAATACTTTTAATATTACATAAACAGTTTAGCAAACAAATAATCTATTAAGTAACCTAGTACAAACATTATCAAATCTATAATATATACTTTTCTAAGTGCTAGGTATTAGGCTTCACATTTTAATATTAAACCAGAGATGTTTAACAAATATTTAAGCTAAAACTATAAAGATATTTATCAATTTTTATAATTAAGAGAAATTACTAATTCTCCAAAAAAGAATATCTACTGTAAAAAAAAATATAAAGGAAATGTTCACAAGCAGTAAAACTGGAAAGCAAAGTTTTAAAATCATACCTATTTTTGTCTTCTATTGATGTATCTTCTGAACCTTTGTTTTCTTCTTTAAAATATTGCCCTGAGCTAGACGGATTAGCAAAGGTAGATATGAAAGGTCCCAGAGATTGAAAAGCTGCTTGGCGAACCTTGGAGGAATTAAAGGACAGTATTAAAATACACACAAAAAAATGAGATATTTGGGCTAAGGTGACAGTATAACGGGTAAGCCTTGCACGTGGCCAACCCGGGTTCGATCCCCAGCATCCGATATGGTCTGCCAAGCACCACCACGAGTAATTCCAGGATTAATTCCTGAGTGTAGAGCCAGGAGTAACCCCTGAGCATCTCTGGGTATGACCCAAAAAGCAAAACTAAATAAGTAAATAAAATAATTTTTTTAAATGAGATATTATTATTAAATTTGCTACTAATATATATATTTAACAATAAAACTTTCTAAAAGAACCCTGAACTGCAGCCGGGAGACCACTCACTGGGCAGGAGAGCTCGTGCCACAGCAAGAACCCAGGCTGATGCCTCGCCCAGCAGCAGATGAACCCCTGCAGCACTGCCAGGTACGACCCCAAAATCAAACCTCGAAAAAATAAACCCAAGCATGCTAAGTGAAATGAGTCAGAGAGGGTCAGGCATAGAATAACTCCACTCATTTGTGAAATATAAAATACCGTAATACGAGACTGACACCCAAGGACTGTAGAGACAAGGGCCAGGAAGATTGCTCCATAGTTGGAAGCCTGCCTCATAAGCTGGGGGAGAAGGCAGCTGGGATAGAGAAGGGATAACTAAGACAATGATGGCTGGAGGGATCGCTCAGGATGGGAGATGTGTGCTGAAAATAGATAAAAGATAGATAAAATAGATCACGGTCCTCCCGTTATTCATCGATTTGCTCGAGCGGGCCCAGTAACATCTCTATCGTGAGACTTGTTGTTACTTTGTTTGGCATATCGAATACGCCACGGGTAGCTTGCCAGGCTTTGCCATGCGAGCGAGATACTCTCAGTAGCTTGCCGGGCTCCTCTCAGAGTGGAGGAATCGAACTCGGGTCGACCATGTTGGCTGCGTGCAAGGCAAACGCCCTACCCGCTGTGCTATCGCTCCAGCCCAGATAAAATAGATAAAAACATGAAAATAGATAAAAACATGCTGAAAATAGATAAAAACATGATGGCCTCTCATTATCTGTAGTCTGTATTGCAAACCATAATAGCCATAAGGAGAGAGAGAGAGCAAGAGAGAGCGAGAGAGCGAGAGAGAGCGAGAGAGAGAGGGCAACTGTCTGCCATAGTGGCAGGGGCAGGGGAGGGGGGTAGGGAGAGGGATATTGGGGATATTGGTGACGGAAAACGTACACTGCTGGAGAGATAAAGTGTTCGATCATTGTATGACTGAAACTCAAACATAAAAGTTTTGCAACTGTAGCTCATGGTGATTCAACTGTCACTGTCACTGTCCTCCTGTTGTTCATCGAGTAATGTCTCCTTTGTGAGACTTGTTGCTACTGTGTCTGGCATATTGAATACATCAGGGGAGCTTGCCAGGCTTTGCCGTGCGGGTGAGATATTCTCGGTAGCTTGCCGGGTTCTCCAAGAGGGGCGGAGGAATCAAACCTGGGCCGACCAGGTCGGCCGTGTACAAGGCAAACAACCTACCCGGTGATTCAATTAGAAAAAAAAAAGCACTCAGATTCAGAACTACTGTAGATCATTATTTAGTTAGAAATTAAAAGTCACTGTATTTTCTGTTTTTTTATCCTAGTTTTTAACAAAAATAAAGAACAAACACAAAAATTTGAAATAGGATCCTAGATAACATTTGCCTTAAAAAAAAATTTCTTCAAGAAAAGTCACACCCAGCAGTGCTCAGGGGTTACTCCTGGCTCTGCAATCAGGAATTATTCCTGGCAGTGCTCAGGGGACCACACAGGATGCCGGGGATTGAACTCAGGTCAACTACATGAAAGGCAAACGCCCTCTTGACTGTGCTATCACTTCAGCCCGGTGCTGTGTATTCTTAAGAACACAAAGAATGGGTGTTCTGAAGAAACAGGTAAGGTGCTTACAGGGAATGTGACGTAGTTGACCCCGACTCAATCCCTAGCACCACATAACGGTCCCTGAGCAAAGAGCCAGGAGTTAGACTTTGAGCACAGCCAGGAGTGGCCCTAATATTAAAAATAACAAAAAGAATGAAGAAAACCATTACTGCCAGGGGGGAAATATTAAGCAGCAAAACCAATAAGATATGCTAAGTTCAATGTTTCCAGGTAGGAAAGACTGATTTACTCGTTGCATGGAAATAAGAAAGATGTGTGCAAGTACTATATACCATACTCATCAGAAATAAAGCATTTTTTAAAAAGCTAAGATAGTAATCTACTATCTACTCTGGCATTAAAAACATCTTAAAATAGAAATTATTTCCTAAATTACAAAATTAAAATCAACTTAGCTAAAAAAAGGTCTTATTTTACAAAAAGGTGCAGCAGAACCAAACCCTACCCATCGTGAAGGATCGCTGATGAGATTTATAAACAATGCTGATAATTTTGTCCGCCGGATTTCTTGACACGTTGCACAGGAAACCGCCATGAAGCACTCGGCACAAGCCTTCCGGACTCCCCACACGTTGTCAGAACAAAGCTGGAAAAACCTGGGAAGCTAGGGAATAAGGATGTTTGTTTAGCAGACAGACAGAACAGGTTTCTTGGTGACTTCTATTTTACTTTCTGCATTCAGAGTGTTGTCAAATATTACATTTTTAATAAGATGGTAGAAACACAGTTCAGTATTAGTACTCAGGAAGTACTAATAATTAGTAAGGTTTAGCTTCTTACTAAAATGCAACACAATCACCTGAGTAAGAGCTGATTTAATAAAGAGGGATAAGAAAAATAAAGATAAAAAAATGTTCATAGGGGCCAGAGTGATAGTACAGTGGCAGGAAGCTTGCCTTGCATGCAGTCGACTTGACATCCTGAATGGTCCCCTGAACCCCGCCAGGAATGATGCTAAAATCAGAGTCAGGAGACTAAGTCCTGAGCATCACCGGATATGGTCCAAAGACAAATAAAGAAAAAAAAATTGCACATCTCCATTTTCAACAAACTCTTCCTATCAAAATGTAATTTAAAAGTGTCTGGGGCTGGAGCAACAGCACAGTGGGTAGGGCGTTTGCCTTGTACTCAGCCAACCCGAGTTCAATTGCCAGCATCCCATATGGTCCCCTGAGCACCGCCAGGAGTAATTCCTGAGTGCATGAACCAGGAGTAATCCCTGTGCATCGCCGAGTGTGACCCCCAAAAATAAAAAGGGTGTTCAGATTGAAGACATTTAAATGCCAAACTTGAAGTCATGGCTCTTTAGTCAAAAAATTATTGTTGGAAAAAACTGTGGGTAAATGTATACATTTCAAGCTCCACATATAAATTTGTAATGCACAATGTATTCCTTTGTTTCTACAATACTTACCAACATTTCCTCAGTCGCTGGCTGGCCAACTACACTGCAGATATCTCCAAAATTGGCAGCACAGACCTGAAACAACATAAGCATCACTGACATTTCAAAATACTGCAGACAGAGCTCTTTCAACCAATCTTTCTATTTTCACTTCTGGGTGCACTGACCAGAGCAATGTGTCCTTCAGCAGAAGCTGACTGACAAGTACCTTTCGCACATGGAACATCCTGCAGTCACAGCACATCTCACAGAACCTGGGGAGGAGGCGGCGCTCCGTGATGTCCTTCCCGACCATGGGGGCCATTCTGCACATTATCTGCAATAAGGACAGAAACATACTTGAAATACCGTCAAGCTGAGACTTCGCAGTTAAATCTGCCAACTTACTGAAAGTATATAATTAGAGGAAATACGAAATGCAGTACCATTATACTGCATACATTACAAAAATCATTTTATCTAAGTAAAAACAGAAAAATAAACATAAACTACCAATAAAATCAAACAGTAATTACAGTAAGTATGGCAAACCCAGAAAAATAATTCCAAATTCTACCTGGTAACTTTAGATACAAAAAAACTCCCCTATATTTATCCTCGTAATGGTGACTGCTCAAGAGCAAAAAAATTATCCATTAAAAGAATCTGAAGGATCTGAAGTTAGAAACATCACTAAGAAAGGACTCTACAGTGGCAGTTCATACCTTTCACAGTCACCAAAATTAGAACGACCCAAAGCAAGGCAATTCTGATATTCCTGCTTCAGCTCATGTAATACCATATAAAATGAAGCTGTACTGAGCATGAACTCTGGCCGAATAAACAAATTCCCTCCATAGCTGGCAAGATTCCCAAACATATAAGAAACTAAAATTAATCAAAAATCAACCACAGGGGCCAAAAAAATAGTACAGTGATTAGGGCACTTGCTTTGCATCCCAGGTTTGACCCTTGGCACTTCAAATGGTCCCCTGAGCCCTGCCAGGAGTGATACCTGGGCGCAGAGCCAGGAATAACCCTGAGAATTGCTGGGTGTTCCCTCCACCCACTTCTGACAAAAAAAAAACCCAAAAAAACAAAAAATAAAAAAACAATCAACCAGAAAACGAATCTGAGGTGCTTCTGGCAGGATCTGAGGTGCTTCTTTGCGAGGATGTGCTTCTCAGGTGTTTACAACCACAAGTGGGTGGGAAAGTTTTTAGAAGGCCTAGTTTAAACAACATGAAATCTTTACAAAATGCATGACATCTGCTAAAAACTATAAAACACTGATGAAATAAACCAAACACTTAAATGGAGAGATCAACTATATCCGTAGTATTTTTTCAGAGACAGACGCTAATAAAGCCATCTAATTTCAAGTGGGGCCCACAAAGACACACCTTTTTCCTAACAGGTCTATGTCCCATTGTAGCTCACTTATACTTTTCAAATTTACTCTATAGCTACTATAGCGACTTTATTTTATTTTCTGGGGAACGGTGTACACCCGGTAGGGCTTATGGATTATTCCTGGCAGGGCAAGGGGAACCATATGGGATGCTGAGATTGAATCCAGGTCAGCCACTTTCAAGAAAACACTCTACCTGCTGTACCTTCACTTTGGCCACTAATTTGTAGCTATTTTAATAGATACCTAACACACATAGCCCTAGAGCATGTAACGAAGCATAGCAATTATGGGAATTTTATATTAATCAATATAATTGTATTAAAATATTAATAAAGTTGTATTAAATGTAACTATTAAAATATTAATACAATGTTATTAATCAATATAATTGTATTGTATGAAAGTATTGCCTAAATTGAAAAAAAAACAAAAACAACCTGTGTTCTAAGAAAAATAACAAACCCCAAAATCTATTCGACTTACAGCCACAGCCTCTGTCTTCACATCGTCATTGCTGTCCGGGGCAGTCAAGTCTATGAGGACAGGACACACCTTGGTCTCCACATCAGATCGCTCTATTAACTCCTGCTCCAGCAGAGCCAGCAACGCGGCCTGACTTGTTTTCCTTACCTAGAGAATAAGTAACAGTATGTATAAAGTGGACGCTGGAGTGATAGCACAACGGGTGGGCATTTGCCTTGCACGCGGCCAACCCGGGTTCTATTCCTCTGTCCCTCTCGGAGAGCCCGGCAAGCTACCGAAAGTATCCCGCCTGCATAGCAGAGCCTGGCAAGCTCCCCTTGGCGTATTCAATATGCCTAAAACAGTAACAAGTGTCACAACAGAAACGTTACTGGTGCCCGCTCGAGAAAATCGATGAACAACGGGAGGACAGAGCTACAGTGCTACAGTACTATGTATAAAGTTTTTACACAATATTCAAAAGCCCTACTACTTTATTTTCACAAGTTTGAAAACTTACATTCCAGCTTAAAAGGTAGCTGTAGTTTTCAAACCTTGCAAATAAAGATTTGTGGCTCTTCAACTATTACAAAGACAGAACTTGGTCACTTTGTAACAGATGAAACAGAACAGAAATCATTTCTGGTTAGAGATACCTCCCAAATGAACCACTGACTCTGAAGGAGATCCCTGAGGGTCAGTGAGAAGATGGCTCCTTAGCAGTGCGGAAACCAGCACTAAGGAAACGCCTAGATTTGCCAGAATTGTCTAAGATAGGCTATTTTGAAGGTAGAAAGAAATTAAAGAAAATATATCCAAAAGAGATCGCGTAGGTCATTTTACATATATATATATATATACACAAATTCCCATTAAGAACATGTAACTAGCATTCTTACCTGATTGTTCTGATCTGCAAGATATCTAACCACAATAGGAAGCAAGTATTTGGAAAATGCATATGGAATTGAAGGCCGGTTTTCTTGACAAAACAATGCGATATGAGGCACCTGTTCCATCAGTTCTGCTCTCACGGTCGGTTCTATTGAAATAAGAGAAATGTGAGCGAACAGTCTTCCATAGTAACAGAATTTGGAGGCTTCAGACATAGCTCTGGACTTTCACCCTCAGTGTAAAATGGCTTATAAAGTGCATCATCTCTGCAATCCTTCGCACGACCTACCATAGGTCCAACCCCATGAGTGAAAAAAAGACTACTGCATCCCAAGCATTTATCATTCACGGTCTATGCTACTAAGTAATCAGTTTCAGTAAGAAATTAATACTTTTATTATCTGCACTAGTGTTTCCCAAAGACAACTAAGCAAGCCCCCCCCCCCCCCCCCCAGCTGTGAAGGCTAGTGGCCTGGGGGACAAAAAAGTGCGTGTGTGCTTTCTGCTTGTTCATGTAGAGACAGTTGATTTCCGGAGGGGTGGCAAGTGACTTTTTCTTTTTTCCTCACCTATTTGGGTAACAGGGCAAATGCACTTGGGATGCTCTGATCCACACAGTGCCATACTGCACTCAGTGGAATGCCTACTAATACAGGACAGCTTTAATAGGGTGAGTATCCAGAAACTCCACCACTTTCAGAACCTCTGAGCTATCATAAGGACCAACTCCTAACCTAGTCAATAAACAAAGCATTCTAGACTTAACATTAAAAAGAACACATGAAAATTACAAAGAGTGCATGATGGCCTTAAATACTTTCTGATACCCACTGTCTTCTATTTTGTCTGTACAATCTTTCCATGTCTGTCAATTTCTTTACCCAAGACCTTGCTTTTAAAAAATACGTATACCTCGGGGTCCAAAATGATAGTATTGATAACACAGTGGGTAGGGCATTTGCCATGCATGCAGCCAACTCAGGCGAACACAGAACCCTGTGTCAGGAGTGATCTCTGAGTAGAGTCAGGAATAAACCCTAAGCACCGTTGGGTGTGGCCCCCCAAACCAAAATAAATATACACATTTTTAAATTTTCATAAACATTTTCAAAGTCTAAAAACAATGTACCTCTCTAAGTAGACCCTTGTTTTTTTGCTTTTGTTTTATGATAGATGATGGATGTTCTAGCAAGTGAGAGCATATAAAAAAAAGCATCTTATATGTCCAAACTTAAACTTTTTGGGGGGTTTTGTTTTTAGGTCACACTTGACCTAAAAGTGGTGCTCAGGGCTCACTTTGAACTCTGCAATCAGGGATCACTCCTGGCAGTCTGGCAGGGACCACTGGGATGCTGGGAACTGAACTTGGCTCAGCTATGTACAACGTAAGCATCCTACCCACTGTACTATTCCTCCGGCCCCTCCAAAATTAAATCATTCAATTAAATGAACCTATTATAAAATGTGCAGACCTTAGTTTCATACTTTTTTTTCTTTTGTTCTTGGGTCACATCTGGCAGTGCTTAGGGTACCATATGTAGTAGAAGGGATAGAACCTGAGACTTGATCTTCATCGATGGGTTAGTCAAAAAATCATTTTGTAAATATTCCACATTAAATTCTTCACCAGACAGAAACAAACTTGACATAAAAATACTCTGTGTGGAGAAAGGGTTACATAAATACCTGAATCATCAGCTAATCTGCTAATTCTTTCCAAAACAGCAATGCAATCTCTTTCATCATCACAGACTTCCCTCAAGGTATCCAACAAACTCCGAGCCACCATTTGTCTACAGAGAAAAAGAAAATTATTGTTCAGTGGCATTAATACTTAACAGTTAAAAATTTAAAAGGCAAGCTTCGGTAAAGAAAAATATTTAATATATTTTTATTACATAACGTCTGTAATTTCCTAAGTGACAATGTCAATCTGGATTTTAACAAGATCACAGTTGCCAAAATATTTTCCATCTTTACTTGATTTGAAAAATTTCCAAAGTCACTGAAAACACATTTTAGCTATCTTCGATTTTCACTATCATGGGCAAACGTGTATTCATTACACAAAACATTTGTTAAATTATTTTTTACTAGTATGGTTTTACATATCTACTCTTAACGAATTTTAGGAAAGAAATACTGATTTTCCAGAGTTGTATGACAGGGCTGTTCTGGGGCTACATCTGAAGCCAATGCATCAAGAGTATTAACTCCCACGTCCAAATCCTAAGGCCATGAGCTGGCACACAGTGCATACATCATTTTCAACAGAAAAAAACTACATCTTCCTCTCAGTGACTGATTTACATAGACATCAAAAGTATGTCCAATCCCAAAGATTTTTTTTTTTTTGGCCAAAAAGCAGAGAAAAAGTGCTTATGTTGTTGTAAGAACCAAGAAGTAAAAGTAAGTATAACAGGTCACAATTATGAGTATTACTGTAAGGTGGTACCCTTGTGGTATCTCAGACCACATAAATTATTAGTAGTTTCTCTTAAAACTGGTAATTTCATTTCTTACTGAGATTACTATAATAAACAGCACCCCCTTCCATTCTAATGAGAAGAATATGCACATACCTGTTAAATACGTTCTCACTTGCAGCATACTTGTCCAACCTCCCCAGTGGCGTCAACATTTCATCTTGTGAGACAAAGTCCAGGGCTGAAGGTATAATAATCACATCAGACTCTGAGCTGTAGTCATCCACACCAACTATCAGAGACATCAGAAATACTCCTTATAACACCTTGAAACTAAAAGGCAGCCCTTATCTATTTGAAGCAGCCTAACAGACTAAATGAGGTGGAGAGGCACAAAGAATCACAGTAAATCTTTAGTTTCAACTTTTAAGACAAGAGTCAAGGACGCCTCCTCTTGTGTACAGGTATGTTCTAGCTGCCTCTAGAAGCTTATATAGACAAGAAGTTACAGAAACTTCGTGACCACAAAGCAGTGAAACCAGTCAAGAGTCATCATAGACCTGATAACTCAACTGAAAGGACAGAGAGTCCAACACTGACTGAGTCCATTCTGTGATGCAGCCAGAGAAAGGCTCACATACAGAACAAAGAGAGTGGACTTCCCAACAGAAATAACGCAATCCCGAGGGCCGGACAGCAACATCTCAAAGGCTCTAAAAGTAAAAAAGCCACTTAAAACTCGATAGCTAGGAAACAGAAATCTTTCAACTATCTTTGAAATCTGAAATGTGTATGCTCCAAATGCAAAGGTAAAAGATTTTTCAGACATACAAAAGTGAAAAGACCTCAGCAGCAGACAAGAACTACAAGAAAAAGAAGTCTGTTCCTCATATCAGACAGAACTAGAGATCTACACAAAGGAAGGAAGAGCATCAGAAATGGTAAATAAATACAAGAGTCTTTTTACTATTTTTAAAATCTCAAAAGATAAGTGGCTGTTTAGAATGTAGCATATAAAACAGATGAAAAAGTACTTTGTGGAATTTATAACAGAAGTAAAATAAATGCATGTAAAATAAATGACAGTGGAAAATAAAGTACATAAAGTGATTCCACAGTACGTGAAGAGGTTACTGGAAAGGTCTTGGAAGGGAGTGGTAGTACAGCAGGCAGGGCATCTGCCTGGCACGCAGCCAACCAGGTTTGATCCCTGGCATCCCATATCCCATATGGTCCTCTGGTATCATCAGGAGTAATTCCTGAGTGCAAAGCCCAGAATAACCTATGAGCATTGCTAGGTGTGGCCCAAACCCCTACCACAAATAAGTTCCATACTAATTATAAACTCTATGGCAGCCAACAAACATCAAAAACTCCCAACAAAAACATGCAGCCTTCAGTAAGTCAATAAAGGACCTAAGATGGAATGACAACAGATATTCCAAAAGGTGGCAGAGGAGAGTAACAACAATAACAAAAAGGATAGAGATGGAAAATGTGAAACCCAATCATATAAATCCTATTAAGCGCAGACTCTCTCTCCTAAAACCCACCCCCAAAGGTGCAAGCTGTGGTTCCGCAGCAGAGCACTCACTCCCACCCTGTGTGGTCTCTGGACTCAATCCCCAGCCCCCCTCACGTCAACAACCACCCATACCACATAACGAACAATGACCCAGCAAGAAGGCAGATTGCCAAATAGGTTTAAAATAACACTAACACACTTAAACTAACAGAGTGCAGACATTTGTTTAATACCAGTTATTCTGATTTTCTATTCATAGAATTGTACCTTATGTATTATGCATCAGGGTGTTGTAAAAATGTGCCTCAGTTGGCCTCAGTTTTCTCCTGATGCAACTGGCTAGCATGCCATGGAAGGCACCTTTATGCAGGCTCTAGAATTCTATGACTATGACCAAACTGTTTCATCAGTCACACATTAGACATTAGCAATACTGATTCTGGTCCACGCAAAGCCAGCGCCCTGGAGAACATCCCCAGAGGGCTGACTCTCAAACATCACTGCTTAGGAGAAGCTTGGTGTGCTTAACTCCATCGGTCAGCAATCAGGCCCAGTGTTCATTTTTAACAAATAACCCCACTGATTTGAGAAACATGCTCTGAGACAAAGTCATATTCTGCCTCAACTTTATTAGTCATCCTCTCGCCCAGTTAGCAATTCCTTCATTACAAAAGTCATCAGTACAGCTATCAAGAACAAAGGTCTGTTTCTATTTCCAGTTCCACTGTTTCCTGTGGAATTCTTGTGGCCTGAATCATCACCCAACTGAGGAGTTTTCTTCATCAATTCATTTAATGGGGAACACAGAATTTGATTACTAGAGGTACAGGTGACTGGGATCTAACACAGAGCTACCACAGCTATTTGAATATGGGGAATACACACCAAAAAAACCATCACTACTGAAAAAAATACCACAAGTACCTCAGTAATAATCTCGGATAAAAAGGCCTTGAGTATTAATGTGGAAATACTGCTGCAAGGATTCTATAGTTTATACACAGAAGTACATTTACTTTAAATAAAAGATGCAAATTACAATTCATAGGAATAATTTCAATACATACTAGAAAGTCAATAGAGGAGTTAAAATGTAATACTAAAAAAAATTTTCATTAACAAAAAGAAAGCAACTATTCCTGTGACAAATACACACACACACACACACACACACACACACCTCAAAGTGTAGACCTAAAACCCAGCCAGCTCAGTATATTAAATCTGAATGGATTTAACATGAAAGGCAGATTCCCATAATAAAAATTATAACCTATCGACAAGTCTACCAGGGCAATTTTTTCCTTAATTTTGGGACCACAACAGGCAACGCTTATTCAGGGCTTACTTCAGTCTCTGTGTTCAGGGCTCACTCCTGGCAATGCCCAGGAGCGGTATGTGGTACTGGGGATTGGTCCAGTGCATGCAAGAGAAGCACATGAACTCCTTCAATAGTTCTCCGACCCATGAATTCTAGTTTTATAAAGTAGAATTTATGAAACTATAAATTAAATAGATTCCACCTCCCATTTCTCAGCAACCTGAGAAGTACTAAGAGCGACTGCCTATAGCACCATTATTTTATTTTTTTTTATTTTTTGCTTTTTGGGTCACACCCGGTGATGCACAGGGGTTCCTCCTGGCTCATGCACTCAGGAATCACTCCTGGCGGTGTATAGCACCATTCTTAACCCTTTTTTAGACCCGCAGATCAGCAGCTCTCCCACCCATGGATAGTTATCACTAAGACCAGTAACAAGAAGATTGGCAATTGTAACTGCTGTGGTAGGAAAACCAGTGGTTTCCAAACTTTCTGTACCTGTGAACCTGTACCCTCCAAGGAACAAAGTTGCAGACTACAGGCTTAAAGAAAACTAGGGAACAGGATTTTCTGGGAGGTAACTCTAATAAAACACTTTCAGGGGTACTCTACTGAGCCTTGGGGTTTGGATGGAAGACGTTCCCTTTCAAGGCAGACTGCCTCCCTTTAGACTAACAAAAGTGAATCCATTATCTCAAAGCTATTTGAATAAGCTACCCGCAAGGCAAATACAAACCTTAGCCAAATTTTGTATTTTGGATGTTTAAAAATACACTGACGTATTAAGGGATCAACTTTTTTTTTTTGTTTAGAAATTATTTTACAAGTATTTATTTTCTGCTATGGCAGGTAAGCAGACCCACGCCCTTACACACAAAGACAAGTACTCTACTGCTGAATCACATTTTGACCCAAGTCAGGTACTTTTAAAAAGTAAAAACGGTGGTATGGTGCTGCAACAGGTCAACCTGTACCTGCAGGGCAAGTGTGTCAGCAGCCTTATGGTGCCTTCAGGCTTTCTGATACCCCAAAATTGCCCCTGTGCCTTTGGCCGGACCCCAACAACTTGGGACTAAATTAGCCAAGAAACTAAACAGCCAAAAGTTAGGTATGTGGGAGCCACACCCACAAACCACCTCTGGCTCAGCCATACAAGCTTATTTATTGGCCTTATTTCAGAGACCCATAGATAAATCCCGAAAGAGATCAAAAGTCACAGTTAATCTCGGACCCGAGCATGGCTGACCAGACTGGGGTAAATCGTAGGGGGGCAGGTTGGCCTGTGCCTGCCCAAGCTGAGCCCCCAGCAGCCGCTTGCTTCTACAATCCAAAATTGCTGCCCATGCCCCTGGCCTGACTCCGCTGTCTCAGGAAGGACCTCACCAAGATATGATCTGCTGAAAAATTGGGTATGTGAGTTTTGTGACTGAAATCTCCAGGCTTTCACAGAGTTGGGGTGGGCTACATCCCCCCCCCCCCACTTCTCAATACACATGTAAGCACTGGCAGTCACCCCCACAAACCAACTCCAGCACCGCACTGTAAACTCTATTACTGGCTTTGCTTCAGAGACCCATAAATAAATTTCAAAAGAGATCAAAAGCCAGAGACACAGCAGTGAGTCCCAGAAGATACCACTGAACTGGAGATATCTCTGGTCCCCATACTGAACCAATTTCACTGGGGCACCCCAGATGGAGCCTGTGCAGTCTCCCCACCTACTCCAGACGGAATCCTGACAACCAAGAGCTTCCAGAAGCAAGGCCTACGTTGTTCCAGTACTAAATCTTCATACCGCATGGGAGCAGAGGCACTGGGCTGTCCCTTCCTGACTCTGCCCGCTCACTGGCCTGGCTGTCATGCCCACAATGTGCCTCTGGGCACCATCTTAGCACACCAACTGCCCTGGTCCAGAGACACCCAACTGAATCCCAAAATGGATTAGTGCCCTACAGAGATGTCTCTGGAATCCAATCGTCTACAATCTAGGATTCCAGAAGCATACGGCTGTGGCACCCAAGGTATTTAAAATGAGCAATGGATAATAAATGATCTAGCATCTGCCCCTGGCAGGCAGGCTTGAATAGTGGTGGGAAAATTCGAGCAAAACATAATGCTCGAAAGTAGAGAGCAAGTACTGGGGAAATTGTCTGCGATGGAGGCTGGGTGAGAACTGGGATGGGGAAGAGGGATATACTGGGGGACACTGGTGGTGGAAAATGTACACTGGTGGAGGGATGGGATTATTGTATGGCTGAATCTTGAACACGAAAGCTTTATAACGATCTCATGGTGATTCAATAAAAAAAAAAAGAAAAAAGTCAAAATAACTGAAACTAACAATTTATTAAAAATCAACTTTGGTCCTATCAACACTACAATCAAATATACCAATTTTCACGTAATTTTCCGTATCTACTGATTTTAGTATTTCAGCTTTGCTATC